GTTGCTCGGTCTAGTGCAGAAGCAGAATATCGAGCAATGGCTATGGCAACATGTGAGCTAGTCTGGACCAAACAATTGCTCAAGGAGTTGAAATTTGGTGAAATCAGTCGGATGGAACTTGTGTGCGATAATCAAGCTGCCCTTCATATTGCATCAAATCCGATGTTCCATGAGAGAACTAAATACATTGAGATTGATTGTCACTTCGTCAGAGAAAAGATACTTTCAGGAGAGATTGCTACAAAGTTTGTGAGGTCAAATGATCAACTTGCAGATATCTTCACCAAGTCTCTCACTGGTCCTCGTATTAGTTATATATGTAACAAGCTCGGTACATATGATTTGTATGCACCGGCTTGAGGGGGAGTGTTAATTTACAGCATGTATATAGTGTAGTATTGTCCCACATTGGTAGAAGAGTAGTATGTCCTTGTATAATATAGCTATAAATAAGGACCTCTTGTGTAGCATTATTCATTCATTCAATATATCAATAATATATTTTCTCCCGTGCCTTCTCACACAATCTAACAAGAAGAGTTTCCTACTCTAGTCGATTAATGTGATTTGTCGGAAAGATATATAACCTTAACCATTAATAATTAATTATATTTCAAGTATTTCGATAGCTCAATATTAATTGGCGGTCCTAATCAAATATACTATAAGAATACAAAGAATTCATATTCACTTTAACCAATATAAATGAAGTGTTCTNTTTAACTAATATAAATGAAGTGTTCTTAAATGCTCTAATTCTTGATTTGGTTTCTAAAATTCGCGATTATTCTTCTTTGACATTTTTCTAAATTATTTTAGTTCATTCTCAAATCATGTGATTTATAATTACCCTTACAATATGTGTCACAACATAGCATGTAATGGAGAACAAAGAGGTCAATTTTATTATGTACAATTTATAAATTTTTCTAGGCTTCGCGCGATCATAATTTGTCAAAAACATAATATGCTAATTAATAGAGAAAAAATATTTATAAATAGTATTATTAGGTTAATTAGTAGAATTTGTTTATTTAGAGTAAATACTTATTTGTAATATATATGAAGTTTACTCACATAAAAAAATGTGTGCCTTTAAAGCATAAAAAAAAAAAAAAATTAGTTTACAATTAAATAATTATTTATTATTTTGATTAAAACTCTAATTATTTTGGTACAACTAAAACTCCAATTTTTATAAACTTAAAACTTTTGAATATAATATTTGTAATATTTATCTCATAAACTAACGTGGAAAAATATTACTCCCTCCGTTCCAGTTTATGTGAACCTATTTCCTTTTTGGACCGTTCCAAAAAGAATGACCCCTTTCTAAATTTGGAAACAATTTATCTCAAACTTACAATTCTACCCTTAATGAGAAGCTTTTATAACCACACAAATACTCTGGGCTCTTTTTTGACTTGTTTAGGACCACAAATTCTAAAAGTCTTCAATTTTTCTTAAACTCCGTGCCCAATCAAACGGGTTCACATAAATTGAAATGGAGGGAGTATAACATATGTATCAATTAACAAACTAGTCACTCCTAATTAGTCCCTAGGTCTTCTTCTTCAGTTGTTCTTCTCTGCGCCGTTCTTCAGTCATTCTGAATCATCTTCCCCAACAAAACCTTCTCCATGTCTCTGGTTTTTTCCAGTACAACACACCCATTCGAGCCCTTCCCAATATGCCTCAGTTCAGTAGTCCACCCATCAACAGCTTCTCTGCCCTAAAAAAAAACACATAGCTCTTGATTTCAGAAACCTGCAGCATGGAAACTCAAAGATTGACCAAGACAAAAAGCTTCAAAGGAGACAAAAGGACTAGTATAAATTACTACATAGCAGCGAAATAGAAGGTATTTCGTTTCCCAGGAAATCAATTTTCCCAAATTTTTGGTCAACGCACCCGATCTAGTCTGACCGGATCCGACACAGATCTCACACCCTTACCAGTGTCAGTGTCGTGTCGACACCGGTACGACACCGAAATTGCCGTGCCCGAGCAACATAGCTCTCTCCTACTTCTCTCACTTGTCCTACTCTTATAGATGGTATTTTGTATCTTTTTGAAACTTCGTTACTCTCACATAGACAATGGTTGAGAATTGTTTTTGTTCAAGAAATTGATTCCTGATTGTTTAGTTCCATTTTGTCCACGATTGTATCAAAATATTACTAATGAGTTGGTTTGAATTATATATTAAAATTTAAAGAAATTGATTATTGAATTTTATATATTACTTTTGAAACGTGTTTGATAATATTTGATATAAAATATTCGCACGAACGCAGAGATTAGTCAATTCTAAAGTTGTAAATATTAAGCCCCCGTTCGGCCATAGATTTTTCCAAGTTTTTTCCAATTGTTTTTGTCAAAACATGTTTGTTTATAGATTTTATCCATGTTTTGGCAGATTTTGAAAACAAATTTTCTCAATCCCAAAACTAGCTCTAGACCTGTTTTTGGCTCAAAATATCACTGTTGGATTTTTGAACAATTTCAAAAATTACCCTAAACTTTTGTATTTTATAAAAAATCCCACAATCTATTATGACCCAACTAACCGCCAACTAATTACTATCATTTTCTTTTGGACTGATGGATCTTGTAATATTATTGCAATTTGACGAATTATAGTGGCTAGTAATTGTGTTATTAGCAATTGATATTAAAATATCATGTTATGGTTTTAGGATAGTGTATTATGTAGTTCATTATAAAAATGATAATTTTGTGTCAAACTTATCTATGTTCAGATGATAATGAATGGCATCGATAAAGGTTATGCATATACATGATTAGCAAGTTTGTTTGTTTGATATTGTTGGGTATTTTTGATAGTGTTTAGAACTTATGGGTATAAGTCACATTTCATGTTTTTTTCAAAAAAAAAAAAGAAGTGAAATATGATTTGAAAAATTATGTCCAAACATATTTTCATCTTCAAACCAAACTTCACCCAAATCAGATTTTTTAAAACAAATTAATCTTATGGCCAAACGCTAGCTAGGACTTTTCTACAATAAGGAAAATAGTTATATAAGGTAAAATTTTAATTGATTTTAAATCCTTAAATATTAGGACTTCCTAAATAGTGCAAATACAAAAAATTTATCCAATATGAACTCTATTTTTAAAGGGTAAAAGAGTCGAATGAACATTTCACGAAGGAGGCTTTATGCTTTATAGATAGATAGATTATTATTATTATTATTGTTGTTGTTGTTATTATTATTATTCAACTCACTCATTTCTGGCCCTTGCAGCTATGCTTTTTGTTACCGGGGCAGTATCAGCTCTTACTGTCTGCCATCTCTTGTATGTACCTCATTTTTTATTTTTTTATTTTTTTTTGCTTGGTAATCAATTCCTTTTCTTTTAATAACCAACAATGAACATCATGATGTGAAATCAAACATTACACCCCTATATCATGGAAATCTTATAGAAATATTAGCTCGAATACGTAATATTTTCTTTACTAAGGTGTTAAAATATGAGGTGTATCCCTACTAAGTATATTAAAATATAATTGCAAATACAAATTAAATTTACAAGGTAAAAAGTTGCTATGTATTTGATTTTATGAATTTAATATGATAAACATTTTTTGCTGAATTTGTTTTTTTTTATAAGTATTTTTGCCGAAAATTTTTAGTCGCTCCTTTGATTAAAAAGAGAACATTTTTTGGGACTTGTATCTCCCAAACCTCTTTAAGTCTTAATAGTAAATGATGACATATTACTTAATAAAATACCAATTATTAGTATTAAGTTTCTTGCAGTTTTATAAACATGTAAGCTATTTGTATCTTTTCAACATTATAGTATTTTATTATATACTAGTAATTTCCCATATTATTTTAATTTGCTCATTAATTGTTAACCTTCAAATTATCTAAAATTTATTTAGTTAGATAAAGTTCCTTTGTATGATTTCCATTATATAAAAAGGCATCCCGGTGCACGAAGCATCCCGCAGGATCCGGGTAAGGACCGCACTACATTACACCCCTTATGATTTCCATTATATAAGGGGTTTAAATGTTTTTAGAAAAATAGGGATAACATGATTATATTTGTGTAGTGTTTGATTTTGAAATACAGGGGATGTATCTATAATTTACCCCAAAAAATCTAAGGTAAGAGTAAAAATCAATAAGTAGGTGCAAGTGATACTCAAAGCTGGATCTGATTCTGTTTCTTGTCAGATTTAAGTTTCTTGTTAATATATTCCAATTGTCCTCTCTTTCTTTTGAGGTTAGTCCATTTGCAAGAATCTTTTCTTTCCTTTTAGGCTCATTTCTTAATTTATTTTTGGCAGGTTAAGACCTAAGCTGAATGCAGCCAGGGAAAAGTAAGTTGTACCTTCGTAGCTATTTATTTTTGTTTTTTTTGCGCCTAAACTGTCTGTTTTTCTTTTCCTTAATTTCCTGAAGTAATTGATAGTAGTACATATTAATGAATTTTGCTGGTCAACAAGTAATTCTTCGGTTGCTTACTGTGGCGGTATTTTGTAGATTCTGTTTTTTTTTAACTTTATTACCTTACATTTTAAATGTGATTTAACATATTAGGTTATCAACCTTAGTGCCTCTGATGCATATGGCTTCAGGTCCAAAATCGATGGTGCTACACTAAGCTGCCTCCGGTGATATCTGCATTGCTTGAATAACCTTCACAAGCATCTTCATGTCAAAGTTATATTAGTGAAATTCCTATCTTTCGTTTCCAGTTGAGAGCTCACTCATCATCTAGATCTACCTTTCTCTTCTTAACATTTCTAAGTTGTCTTTTCTCACCTCTCATAGATTGTTAGTCTCCATATACCATTCTCGTACTTCTCTCTTTACCCTGTTTATCTTGTATTTCTTTTCCACCTGTCATGGCCTTGACCTGAGCTTGTCCTATTTTATAGCCCTAACATGCTTACTCGTCTAATTATCTTCCTCTACACATATCAAGGATTCTTTTTTTCCTTTTCCTTTTCCTTTTGGATTGGGTAAAAAGCCATTTTATTGCATCTAGTGTAAAGTGAATGCTATGGAGTCTGCATACAACAAAACAAAAGCCAGCTACTTTACTGCACATATAAGGACTTCAGGAAATCCAACATGCTGTTTGTATCTCTTACACCAAAATGCTAATAGAGAATACATTTTATATTTTGGTTTCAGATAGCCTATGATTTTTTCTCTTCCGTACAACCCACCAAATGGGAGCGGGAACATATCTCCACAGCTTCCAACTCTCTTTTCTATAGGTTCTTCTGAGTCAAAACAGCAACTTTGTTACCAAAACAACAATCACCCAGTATAATCCCACTAGTGGGGTCTAGGGAGGGTAGTGTGTACGCAGACCTTACCCCTACCCTGGGGTAGAGAGGCTGTTTCCGATAGACCCTCGTCTCCCTCCCTCCAAGAACTCCCGGCCTTGCTCTTGGGGTGACTCGAACTCACAACCTCTTGGTTGGAAGTGGAGGGTGCTCACCACTAGAACAACCCACTCTTGTCTAACCTTTGTTACCAAACATGTAAAATATTTAACTTGTAAAGTTCCCTACTTCTCCATAAAGTTTTTCAGGAGTATTCTTGTTCCCATGAGGTCTTACTGTCTGCAGATAAAACTGTCACAGCAAAGCACACTGTGCCTGCTCTGTTTCCACATTATTTTACCCTCTCTGTCTCTCAAAATAGAACAAGAATCAATTAGCTTAAGGAGATTGCATTTTCTTCCACCTTCCAATAATTTTGATCTCAACATCATGTCCAATCCGTCCATTATCCAGTACCCAGTCACTGTAGCCCTTTTGTTTGTTGCATAATTAAGTTATCTTTTATCTATTTCCTCGCCATTGACAATCTCTACTTAGCTTATCAAGCCTCCTCTCCACCTGTAGGGCATATGTCGCACCACTAAAGAGCAGAAGCCTATCACCCAATGATAAGTTGAGAACTATTGGCCCTTCCATTTTAACAACCTTTTCTTGCATTTTCCACGACTCCAGTCCTTGATCATATCTGCTTTATGATTAGCCCCAACAAGCATTTCCTTATATGTGGTGGATATTCGTCTAAAACTGCAGCTCATGATGGCAACTAGCGCTTGAATATTTTTCACCCCATTTACTGGGTATATTGAAGACCATAAGCCAGCTTGAATAACACCGCTCTCCATTGGCACCACCAAGGAGGAGAGAGTCATCTGCTTACAAAATATTAGAGAGTCACTTTGCCCTTTAGAATTAACAGAATGATCCCTTATCTGACTTCTTAAAAAAACCCTTATCCAACTATGTTGCACTGCAATATTTGTCGTTCTGCTTAGGTCTTCCATCAATAGGAACAAAAGTAAAGGGGACCCCAGCCTAAGTCCCCTTTGCGAAGAAAAGACACCACACACAGTTACACTAAATCACTGGAATTTCAGAACTTCACCGAAGTGATCTATTTTGCTCTGGATCCCATGTCTTTCAAGATTCCTAGAAGTAAGTCCCATTTGACGTTGACATACGCCTCTATATCCAACTTCACTATCTTTTCCCCAGGTCTGGAATCCATATATTCATTAGCCATAGGATTCTTTGCTGACAAGCAACTGCTTAATCCCTCTTCCGTGCAGATTTTGCTTATGCTCTTCTGGAATTGAGCGTGTTTCTATTGAATTGAAACAACTACTATGCCTCAGTCCCAAAAACAAGTGGGGTTGGCTATATGAACCCTCACAGACCATGTATCTCCAAGTAAATTGGGTGACCTTCACAAATAGGATCATTTAGTGTCATTTTTTTAATGTTTTGGCCTCGTTTAATGTTTTTAACAAAACTGGACTCGCTCATCAGGAACGGAGAAAAATTGCCATAGATTGGTCACGAAGTTCTTTAGGTTGCCTTGTCAAAATACTGAAGATTGCCAGGAACGGTAAAAAAATAACCGAAATTGGGCTGAACATTTAGAACGACCATTTTTAGGAGGGATGATTTGGTGGAAACTTTTTAAGGGTTCAATAGGTTCTAGATTTCCTTTTGTATCGTGGGAGTTTTGTTGAAGGAACAAGAGAAAGCTGTATCTCTCCTGTGAGAGAGAGAGAGCCCTTGCTTTCGTGGAATTTAGAGTTCATGTGTAAAGGAACAGATCTTGTAGAGGATTTTGCTGTAGTGCAAGGAGTTTTTGGTTTGGTATTGGCTCGAGTTTGCAGCTTGTTATTGATCAAGAAGCCCCTGCAATTTGTTATTTGTAGTGCTTAAGAAGTGCATTTCATTGCATCTTTGTCTTTTGATATCTTAAAAATGGATATTATGTCTTGACATCTTGACATGTTTTCTAAGTCCTCTGTTTCAGGCAAAGTGTTTAATTATTATCGGACTACTCTAGTTTCAAGAATTTAATTCACTTTGTTATTTGCACCAGGGCGCGTGCTCGTCGATTGTACTGGGAAGCTCTGAAAAAATGACTCGCTGTTAATAGTGTAAACTTATTTATGAGGATGTATTGTTGGCCGTTTACTAAATTCCCTACGTGTAGAGACTTAATTCTGTGATCTTGTACAAATCATTCATGTAGAAAGAGACTAAACTATGCTGTCAGTCCGAATATTTTAAGTTTTGTGGTCATAACTGTTTTCCTCGATTTTATTTATTTGTCTTTAAATGGCAGTATTAGGCAGCTCTTATTTGGGGGCATTTTCATATATACTCACTTTTGGGACCGCCATTAAAGTTATACCCATAAAATTTTGTAAAGTGTACCTGTTCGGACCTATAGTAGTTCAATCTCTTCAATGCAATTTCAAAAATTAAATTTGAAGTTCTTTCTTTCAATTGCAATTTCAGAAATTTGAATCTTAAGTATTTTAATCTCTTCAATGCAACTTAACTTTTGAATCTTAAGTTTTGAAATATAAATTTGTTCTTCGAACTTAACAATTCTACACAAAAATTCAATGTAATCTACTCCAATTAGCACAAAATTGAAATATAACTTTTAAATATCATGAAAAATAAACATCAATCATTAAATATTGTCAAAAAAAAAAAAATTAAACAAACTCATTTTGTAATTAAGAACAAGAAGAAACTCCAAGTACAAAGAAGAATAATTAGGCAACGAAAAGGAAAAGAAAAGTGTATGGATATGAAGTCACCCAAAAATTAAGAATTAGTTAAACTTTTTATAAAAAGTAGATACAAATTCAATGGGTGGTGCAAAATTGGGCACCACGTGAAAATTCTATGTTTATTTGTTCACCTAGGCCCACAAATCTCAACTCCTAGAAACTAAATCGGGTATTATCACTTTTAGCCATTGCTAGAAATTATTACATTAGATAGTCGAAAAAGTGTATAAAACTTGTATAATTTTTATATATAACATACATAATATATATATACAAATTTTATACATTTTCCGGTTATTATTTTTACAACGGCTATACAATGTCGTTTTCCCAGCTAAATCCATCGAAATACTCCAACCAAATACTTGGCTTGTATGTTTATGTTTATATATTTAGATATTATTTCATACTTATACGCAATTTCTTTCTTTTTTTTTGAAAAAAATCAGTCTAGATTCATTTGGTGATCCTTGCTTGGGATGTTATATATTAGTGTAAGGTCATCAATTCCTTGTCGAGTATTGTTCAAATGCTTCTATCCCTTGATTATTTGATTTTCACAAGGTCTATGTGGTGTGACCGTGTTGGCCTGTGAGGGAAGATATGAAAGGTACTAATGTATTATGCATCGTCTAATCCGTGTCTCGAGAAAAAGTTTGCCTAGGAACCAACTTCATGAGGCAAACAAATAGTGACAAGGTAAAGCAGTGATAATTTTGGAGTAACCCTCCAAAATTAATAAACATGACAGCTTCATTTCAAGTGATTTGATATTAAGCAATTCGTCACTACTCTACCGAGGTTAGACTTGACACTCATTGGGTACCGCTGTGATGTACTCATACTACGCTTCTACGTATCGTTTTGTGCAGATCCAGGTACTCCTTACCAGCCCCGACATCAGTGAGTTACCTGTACACGGAGACTTCGAGGTATATCTGCCAGCGTCCGCAGACTCTAGAGTCTCCTTATATCAATATTATGTTGCTTCCTTGTTTTTCTTTACACCTCGATATATATGAAGCTTGTGACTTATTTCTACCAGGTTTTGAGAGTTGCAATTATTTAGAGTTTTAAATTTTTATTTTTATTCCGCATTGATAGGCTTACCTAGTCTTAGAGACTAGATGTCATCACGATATCCTACGGAAGGAATTTGGGGTCGTGACATTTTTCTATTTCTCTTTTTCTTTCTTTTCTATTTCAATTCAAATCCCATGCCTATCTTTCTTTTCTATTTCTTTTTCTTTTTACATGCTTTCTTCTGTTTTTGGGTTCATCCTTTGACATATCCTTAAATTAAATTTTTATTTTTATTTGATTCTTTTATGTGTTTTCTTTATTTTCTTTTTTGGTTGAATCATTGAGTTTTATAAATTCTAAAAAATAAAATTTAAATTAATTTGAATCTTTTCAATTTCAAGTTCCTTCTTTTTTCATTTACCACTCTCTTTTTGGTTAATTATTTAATTTTAATATATCGAGCTCAGTATTTGTAACTATAAATAGTGATGCTATCATTGATAGTTCTCCAAGGTAGAAAAACTATTCATAGATATTTGTCTATGGAATGATAGGTTTTTGTAATAACAATATTGATTGTTCTTTACTTGTCAAGTTGATGCCATGGTAAAATTTTAGAGGACCAAATCAATAGTGGTCGGGTAGTGGTGCACCCATCCTCCTCAAATCCTGGATACGCCTCTGTGTGGGAACCCATAGTCAAAAGAGCATTTGGTGTAGTGGTAGCTTTGTGCACCATTGACCCTTAGGTCTAGTGTTCGAATCTAGTTCACTATGTTCCATTTCTAAGACTTTTTTCTATTTCTCTTTTTCTTTCTTTTCTGTTTCAATTCAAATCCCATGCCTATCTTTCTTTTCTATTTCTTTTTCTTTTTACATGATTTCTTCTGTTTTTGGGTTCAGCCTTTGGCATATCCTTGGATTAAATTTTTATTTTTATTTGAATTTTTTTTGTGTTTTCTTCATTTTCTTTTTTGGTTGAATCATTGAGTTTTATAAATTCTAAAAAATAAAATTTAAATTAATTTAAATCTTTTCAATTTCAAATTCCTTTTTTTTACATTTACCACTCTTTTTTTGGTTAATTATTTAATTTTAATATATCGAGCTCAGTATTTGTAACTAT